CAAACACCCTAAAACGCCTGAGTCATGTGCACGCACTTGAGCAGCATGATCTGTAATGAATGATTAAGTAAAACCTTTTGTGTTAAATTATGATGTTAATAATGATTCTGCCTCCTGTAATGTATTACAAATTCTCGAATGCTCCGGGTTTGATTTTGATCGAATGCAACCACAACAGAGTTTATGTGATGACTTTATTTTTAGAACTCCTTCTTTGAAGGCGCCCATTCCCGCTACCGCTGCTACTGTAATTATGCACAAACCAATCACTCATTAGAGTTAGGATACATTATCTTCCAGACAGATGAGGCTAAGTAAGCAACACATTAATAATTCAGAGAGCAGTTCATTATGCATGTGGAAGGCAGCTTCAAGCCGAAACAAGGGCCTCATCAGCCGCTGCCAACCCTTAAACAATAGTTCTGTGTTATTGCAGCCACATTCCAGTTTACGCTTGTTAAACTGCTACTTGGATTATTTTATCAAACATTCATTTATTTGTGGTCTCTTACTGCTGAGAACAGATTTTGGAAGCTCCTTTTTTAAGTTAATGATTTGAGCAATGGGTGTTATTAATTCTCAGAATATTATAAACATGATTAATTTTCAGGCAGAGATTTATTACATAAGGATTTCAACTATGTCAACTGAAATGCATCACTGTCAAAACATGTATCATGGCAAAAATAGAATACGCGGCACACTTCAAGAGCTGGTGCTCAGAACTAAATCAATTTAAATTGTGGCTCGAGCAAAATTATATTCTCCAGTGGAAAGGAGTATTTCCAGCTTCCTGTATTTGGCTTGAAGCACTCTTGTTAGATTGTGATTTAGAAAGGTACTTTAATAAGACTAGACATCCACCAATAATGTTTTATTTTTTGTTTCTTCCCTGTCTTACTAGAAAAGGCAAACCCCTGAGATTCACCCACACCCCTGGCATGGCCAGTGGGCATGTGGTGGGAAAAACCCTGGCCTGGGCACAGGGGGCATGGCTTCTGCTCCTTCTTTGGCCTCAGTTTCCTCATTTGGAAAATAAGGAAAATCTCTTGAGGGATTTGATTGTACGGGCCTGTGGAAAGGAAGTCTGCGTCACGCCAGGCCCCAGCACCTCATATGCTGTGGAGGGCTGAAGGAAGGGAACCCTGAGAGGAGCATGGGAAGGACCCATCCCCACGCTGTAGCCTTGCCTGAAAGGGTCTTTCCCTGCAGAGCCTTTTAGAGAGGGGCAATCCTGTTCTAGCAGGACAGATGCTGAGACTCACTGGCCATTGCCATAGCCATCAGCAAGAACCCACTGGAAGTCAACTCAGCAGGTGTTTACTCAATGCCTGTTTAGTGCCAAGCACTCAGCAGGGGGTATAAGGATGGCACATAGCACAGGAACTTTAAAAAAAGAATGGGAATGAGTAGCCAAGAGCTCTGGGTTCGTCAAAAGCAACAGGAAGGCCGGTGGATAAGAGTAGGGTTATCACACCCCACAGGTGCTGGTCCCTCCTCTACCCAGGTTCCTTACTAGGCATCTGGCGTGAGTCTTTTCACATGCAGCGTATCAGGCAGGTGCCGTTCTTCTCATTTTTAGATAGGAAAACTGAGGTCAGGAGAGGTCAGGTCGCCTCTGAAAGGCCGCTAGGCAGGCAAGTGGCAGTGCCAGGGCTGAAGCCCACCTGTGCTGCACGGAGCGCCAGCCGGCCTTGTGTGGATGGCCGCTAATTTGTGTAATCTACTCTCCTCTGATCAACCCAGTCCCAGAGTGGGTGCCAGTTCATGCCT